CTCTCACTCTTACAGATTAGGTGTAAAGATGAACAGCAGTGAAACCACACTGCCCGAAGCAAAGCCCCCGGTGTCACAAAAATGACATCTAAAGAAACACACTGGAAGACAGAAAGACAGACAGACAGACAGACTTAGAAACCTACAGTCTCACATACAAATGTCTCAGTTTGTTGACTTCTCCACCAAACTGGACAGAATATTGAGTCTGTTAAGGGAGTGCTGTGAGGAGAAACATCTTGGTATTTTTTTAGGTTGTTTCTGTTTTGTCATCTCTTCTTCTGTTGTTTTTTTCATTTGTCTTTCTCTATATTTCCATAGTCCATGAATCATCTGCTCACATCTACATCTGTTCACAACAAACCAACAACAAACCATCAACCTGTGTGACGATAGGTACAGGACGGATGCTCAGCCTAGTTTTCAGATTTGCTGCTCGAAACTCTTTCATTCTGCTTTAATGATAGGTCGTTTAGGTGAAGCTATACAAAAGCAGCCTTCTAATTTCCTGTCTGCAAATTTGTCGGTTAAAATAACTGTTGCTGGCAGACCAGATCAGCTCCAGCTAGCTAGTAATCAAGCAAATGTTTGCTCCAGTAATTGCTTGAAAATGCAGTCTCTGGATGATGTTTCCAACCTAAGATGTCTCAAATACGCAGTTGATGGCTACACACAAGATATTGTGTTAAAAGAAAAAAATCCTCTTTCTTCTTAAAATGTAGAGTCGTGTTAGTATTTTTCTAATGTCTTGTTACAGTTGCAAACAGATTGGTTGAGCAATTTAGCGAATGTCCAATTCGAAGGAAAAGATATTCCTAAAGAACAGTGTAGTTGGGTTTTTGTGATTTAATGCTGTTGAAAAAAACAAAACAAAAAAAAACAGTTGAAAAATCAAGACTTGTTTAGGTTGTCACTATAAAAAATGCAAATGCACAGACATTATTCAGTCTTCAACACTTCTCTTATATTTAACCGGCAATATGCAGACTCAAACATGACAGCCACAGGTGTACTGGTCTCTATGGGCCGTACCACCTGCTGGTGTTTTATGTTACACTCTCTCCATCTTGATTGCCCTTTTGCTGTTGTCCCTCTGCTTCTCTATCTATCTTTACCCTCCTTCCGCATGTCCTGTCCATTTCCTGTCCATCATTTTCCCCTCTTTCTCTTTTTACTGCTGGAATGTGTGACATTTTACCGCTTAGCACACGGCTCATCCATTGCACAAGCACATTCACAAATGTGCACACGTACACAACAATGCTCAGAGACATGCACACATACACAGAGGCAGGAGATAAACAGAGCTTTCTGAAATGCCAAACATAATACTACACAACAGAGGAAAGCAGCATGTTGTCAAGCGTCAACCAAGTAACTCAAACTTTGGTGAATTCAGTTTTTCACTTTAATTTAAAGGTTACTATACTTAACATGCTGAGGCACTTTCATGTCTATAGAAGCACCCACACAGTTACCCGAAAAGCAGTACTGTTCCCACAAAAAATGTTAAGGGTTATGTTATATCTCTGCGAGCAAACCAAATGATGAATAGGGTTTGGATTTGTTGCCAACACTCTTGCTACTTACTTGTGACATTCTAATACAACAACTCTCTCCAAAGCTACTGCTCAGAAATCAAGGAAACAAACCACAATCCTTGTTCTAGACAACATTTTCATTGGCCACCTTTGCCACAAGTGCCTTCTCATAGGTCCAGAAACATGAATTTCACTGGGTACTCAAGACTCAATTTAGCCAACTATGTATGCTACTAGATATCAGCTAAATGAAATTAATTAGAACAGAAAACACAGTCTGGGAATTGAGGGATGACTCACTGTCGAACGTCAAACTGACATCACATCTCAAACTTCAGCAAAAACTTTTTAATGGCAGCAGAAATCCAAGAATAGTATAATATAATCCAGGTTCTCAGGAAGCAAAAGCCATCTGGGATTCACTGCATAAAGTTAATCAGTGACAGATTAAAACCTGATGCCAGATGGATGCAGTTAACTAGCTGTTCAGATCCTGAGCTATAAATGTGTGTTAAATTTGTGTTATATGTAATGTGTGTTTTTCAAGCTGGCATGGATGATTACATGCACCAATATTGAAACAGGAGAAGACAAGGAAGGTGGCTGGATAAAAAGTTTGTTTACCAGCTGAGAATGCATCAAATGGTGGTTTGGCCATCAAGGACAAAGGGAGCACAAAGGTTCCTTGCAAGGATACTACACCAGAACAAATCTCTACAATAATTAAACTTAAAAACACTGGGGAAATTATCAAATGTGTCTTAATCGGTCACACAGGCAAAGTGAAGTACAGAATCTATGTCGATGTGCAAAAACTTTGATGTCACTGTCACCCACACAAGTTGTTAGCAAGGACACAAGTGCTTGGATTTTTTTTAACTCTAGGACATTAAACCCATGCAGCCCCCTCTAAACAACTTTGAATTCAGTGGTGTCAGAATAAAAGACAAACCAGACATTGTTGCTTAAATTTCAAGTCTTTGACAAGAGGTGCCATGGTTTCAGTCTGCCACCAGCAATCTTAGGAGAAACATGCTTAATACAAGACCTTGTAACAGTTATCAGGTGTTCTTTACATCAATGTACTGTTGTCTGCTGTTCTCAGTGCGATACAAAGCTTTTGTACTATGTTGCTGGTGCAGAATAGAAAGTACTCAGATCAGCACATGCTGTCCTCATTGGCCATTTTTTCCTTACCAAAAAGAACACTAAACCATTTTTACACTAAGAAACAGCCACTGTCGCCGTACAGAATGATTTCAGTTGCAGCCACTACAGGAAAGGTACATTAGGTTGACTTTCTAGAGTGTGTTTACATAATCTACAGAGGCGAGGACAAAGGACAGTGTCCACAAGCCCATTAAGTCTTGGCTAACATCAAACACTTTCTCACTCTATCAGAAGAGAAAATTAATCTATTAAATCTGTGCTGACAGTTTGTAAAGTGCACTCCAAGTTAAATGAGAAAGTAGAGTTGAGAAGACCAATTTGACTTGCAATTTCACCTCATCATGACTAATTCAAAACACAGACTGAAGAATTACTACAACTGAGCTGATAGAATTTTCTGTTCCACCAGCTACAGCAATCCCTTTATCCTCATGGCCCTGATTTTCATCTCACTGCGTATAGGAAACTGTGTATTGAAAAGTCTTTATTAGGAATAACCCCTTGAGATGTACCATCTCCTTTTCAAGGGGGTCTTCAAGGGTAGTATGAAATACAACAAAGCAAATGTTAACTAATTCAACAAGTAATTGATTTGAAATGTATGTCTTGAATCATCTGACATTTTACACCTATAAACCTTAATTATCTTCACACACTGGCTACTAACGCCTACACACACAATTGAATAATGTGTTCTTGATCTATGGACGTCAAGTCACACCTTAATTTACATAGTGATTGCACAGAAGTAGGACATGACGTTCTTTTCTCTAATTGCATTGCTCATTTTCTCAGTCTGCTAACTGATTTACAAAGACAACCTTTTTTAAAGTCATTTATGGTGTTTCAGCTTTTAATTAGACTATACTGAGACTTTATGAAATGTGTCTCTTCATTTAGCTACAACCAAAGTGTACAGAATGTGAAATGATTGATTTAAGTGATTTTTCAGCCTACCAACATTTCTACACAGCAAAAACAATAACAACTCAACTGCTTAGAAGACTTGTCTACCTTCACGCTTGATAATTGACATAGCTTGCTTCACCTTGAAATGAAATCACTGTATACAGTAATGAATTTGTGTGTACATCACTCATGGTTAATCCATAGTCTACAACAAAATCATCACAGACCTTGGCTGCCCAATGCAGCTTCCACTTGTAGCTTGATTAATAGCTCAACACACCTTTCACCTCAACGTGCTGAGCAAAAAGAGGCACATGTTGAGAGCTCCCTGCATGGGTTACTTCAGACTCATCCAGACAGCAAAATCGTTAATTTTTAATTGCAGGGTGAAAATCAAAAGATGCAAATGTGCAAATTACATGTGTGTAAACGAGAAGAATGCTGAGATCAAAATGATAACCAGAGAGATCTGTATTAATGTCAGTTCATTGCTTCTTTCTCATCCAACTCAGAATGTGAACTGGCTTCTGTTAAAGCTGAATGTGAAGTGACAAAGAATCCAACTCAGATCTTTGTACAGAGACTCTGGGCAGCTTTTTCTGTTTATGGATACAAATACAAAACATTGAAAATAAGCCCAGTTAAAAAGGTGCAAGAGACGTGAGACAATTCATTACATCATTCTCTCATATGACTGGTACATGAACAAAGCAAGCAGCTCATTAGTTTTAATTACCTCTGCCTCCTTTGTCTGCTAATACTGGCTTTTGCTGACACTGCTGCTGCCTGTCAACAAGCGTTTGCACCTGGAAATAATGTTTAGCACTCCCTTAAGCTAAACGCCTCTGCCCTCTTGCACAGCGGTATCAGGCAGCTTTATACGCTAACAGAGCATATTTTCAGTCTGAAAACCAAGAAATTACGATAACAAAGCATGTAATCTGGTAACACAGATATGTAAGGAGTGTTCAAGATCGCTGCGGTGTCACTTCACAGTAACTTGTTGTAGTCTACAGTTGATTCAAGAAATAGAAACCTTCTCTCTCTTACTTTTTCAGTTAGTTTTAACTGCATCACACCATCAACAATGCTAGACTGCCTTGAAAGGTTAAATGGGTTCTTTCATAGCAGACAGAGAACACATCATGTACATCTCACAAAGTCTTCTCATGTCAAACATTCAGGGTCTATGACAATTGCCTTCTTTTCAGCTTGACAAGAAAGCATATTGACAGTATCCAGTTTTCCATCAGCTCCAAAGCCAGAGCAGCATTTCCTCACCCCACAAGTAACAATCAGTACTTTAAATGCAAATAAAAGCAGGAAAAAACTGCACACTAGGCACCAGCGTCGTCAAGCTCATGTGGCTGAATGTCCTACCTTGACTCCTCGCACTCTGAACTCGGCCAGGGCTCGGCTCATCTTGGAAGATGCTGTCTGCAAGTCTTTCCCACTGGCTATGACTTTTACCAGCAGGGAGTCATAGTGGGGGGAAATGATAGCACCCTGGAAGGCAGAAGCACTGTCCAGACGGATGCCCATGCCTTCGCCGCTTCGGAAGACCTGGCAGAAACAGGACAGAGAAGCCAACAGTGAAGGACTTTGTATAACAGAATAATGTCTTTATCTGGGTTGTTATTGATTTGATATAGAAATGAAATCTGAGAATAAGAAAATAAACAGCAAACATACAGTTAACATTGTGAAGAAAAAGTCAGCAAATTATAATGAAATTAATTTAATTTGAGTTAACATCAAGTGTGGAGGCAGAGTCATGTACAAATAGCAAGAATGCTATACAGTACTTCTGTGTTGGCTTTGTTAAGGTAGATTCTCAGGAAAACTTGCACAATTTGTCAACTTTAGATATACTGTTAATAGGGCTTTCTACTATTTTTTGAGATATTTCTCAAATGTTCTATTGCAAGAAACAAATAAGTTACAGTAGTTGTTTCAGCTATGCAACGGTAAGGCTGTATTATGAAAAATTCATATCATATAGGAATAATAACCAGTATACTGATTCATCCAGTATATTGCCTAGCACAAAGGGCTATTATTGTATCACCTTACAAGGTCCAGTAATTTTAGTTTTTTTTTTTTTTTTTCATTCCTAACACCTGTTTGCAGGAAATATTTTTACAATATTTGTGTCTTCCTCAGTAATCAGTTTTTAGAAGTATTACAGTATTTAGGAAACAATAATGGTACAAGTGATAGCAACCCACTGCCTGAGCAGTGAAGACTGACAAGTCCCACACGGGAAAAATGGTGGCTCAGTGGTCTGAAATGTGTCAATGCGCTAGCTTCGAATCCAACCCTGGACTTTTGTTGCATGTTTCCTAGTCCTTCCTATCACCCTCTATTTTGAACTGTCAAAAACAGAAATAAAAACAGCAGAAACATCACAACTGCCTCAAATAAATTTGGCAGACAAACTTTCACACTGCATCCTTCCAAAAAAGTGCAAGATGCAGAGTCAAATGGTTTTCATTGCTATTTTCAGTTTAACATTTCAGTGCAGCACTGCAGGATTTTTCATTCCTTACTTGTTCTATTATCTCAACATTGTTTACAGCATTTGTTAGACTGTAATGTGGACGATTACAAACACAAAGCACGTCTGTCCCTACAACGTAGGCGCAGATTAACCCGCACTTGGAACGCGATGACAGACGGACATACAAGAGGAGCAAAATAAGGAGATGAGAGGGGAGAAAACAAGCATGAGATGAGTTAGAGATGGAAAGGCTGGACGGTTTCAAACCACTTGGCAAGAGAGCAGAGAGGGAGGAGAGGAGATGTGAAGAGGAGAGTGAGGACTGTCCAACACTACAACATATGGAGCCCCTCGAGGGCTGGAAGAGAAAGACGAGTAGAAATTATAATTATAACAATGTTGTGCCACACTGATGATATGCCGGTAATATTTTCAGACAATGTAGATGTGCAGAGCTGCCAACATTTATGACCAACAATATTTTTTCATTATCCTTTTGCTCTTTACAACTCACCATTTTACCTAGAGTGATTTTGCCCTCGTTCTTTAAAGCAATTTTGTTAATCTCCAATGGCTCGGAATGATCAAAATACTGTATAATTGCCTCCATAAAGCATGTTAGCAAAAATGTGCTTCAATATTACTGTATGATGACAAAGGGCTTATGTTATAACAGCCAAAGTGAATGGACCACCCATACCCAGGCTTCTGTAAAACCATGTTATACTCTAGTGCTACAGTAGCCATCATTAATAGAAGAATGCTAAAGCATGAAGCAAAAGGAACACACACACGCAAACACAACACTAGGAACACACTAGGAGAGCAACAGCAGGGAAGCATCAGATGTCAAATTGCTGTTACAATTTACATATCAATACATCTTAACATCAAGCTGAATGCTGAATTACGGCTATGAGTGGACATTAATGTATTTTTCAATTTGGATTTAATATTTCAAAGTATGGCTTATTCAAAGAAATATCCCGCACCAAAGAGGAGTTCTGATCTTTTTCAGCATAAAATGGAGGCCAAGTTGAAAGGGACTGCCTACATAAAGCTGTAAATGGATGAGATGCTGAGCAGAGGAAATTGTCACAAGTACTGCTGCCCACGCACACTGCCTCTACATCTGTGCAATATGCAGTTTCAAGGCTCAAAGCCCCAATTTCCAGGTTGTGATTTTCATAAAGCCCGGCACTTCCCTTTGATTTTAAAAGCTTGAGGCTGGTCATCAGCACTTCAAGTGTCACTGAAGTAGATCTCAAGTTCCACATTCACACTTTCTGATGTGCATGTGCAGAACTCTACAAACTGTTCAGTATAAATAGGTTTTATATTTGAGAAATATGATTACAATTACAAAAAGATTGCCGTCTGCGCCATTTATTATTTAGCAAGCTTCAACAGCTGTGCGCTCACAAAAAGTTTCCAGAGGACAGAATAAGTTTTGGAAATATTGACTGACACTTTTCTGGTGGGGACAATAAAATATTTGAATGCCACCCTGATATCTACAGGAGGGCCTTTTGCCACCACTTTGAGGATAATGGAATATTGTCTGCATGATTGTCACACATTATTGTGGACAATATATAAACAGTAAAAAATAATGACTTCCTCCAGACAGATAATAGACAAAAATTGGGCAACTGAAATTAAATATTTTACTGAACCACACAAAGCAGAGACAGAGGTGATTTCTGCAACTACCAGAACAAACTAAAAGAGTTTAAAGTTGAACACTAAAACATGCCTTTTGAAAAGGAGGGTTTTAAATAAATCTGACATGAGAAAACTGGAAGTTGGGTAATAAAAACAGGACTGTTAAAAAGAAAGGAATGCGTTTGCGTATAATCGATCGATTTCTCATTTTTGGATTTGTAGCCAACTCTCGGGCACTTTGTTTCCACAGTAGTGTTGAGGCAGTTGCCCCCCTCTGTGCCAAAGCCCCTGGGAAAATCTACACTGTGTTTACTTTTTCTCCCTATTCATTAAATCTTTCCTTACTGTGAACAAACCGCATTTTAAAATTGTTTTCAGCCACCCCATTAAGACTTCAGGCCAAGCATATACAGAAGGCCGATGCAGCTGCTAGTGTTGACTGCTGTGTTAAAGTGACTGACTGGCTGTCCGATGGCTGCCAGGGCTTTTCTTTGCACATTGTTATTTAATATCAAACTGCTACATCCCCAGGCGGGTGGGAGGGAGTATACGGTAACACACTAAACGTTTCTCACATTGAGACTGATGCTGCTCTTAGCTTTGACTTATTCAGTCAGTACATCCACACAAGTAGACTGAGCATCAAGGCTATTTTCAGCAACATCCTATTAATAATCACACAGTCTGGGCATTAACTAGGCAACAACAACAACTTGAAGTGATAAAGAGCAGAAGGAGCAGGATCAGTTATTAGTTCAAAGGCTCATCTGTTCCCTGACATCCTGGCCTTTGTTGTTGTCGTCTCACTGTGGCAGTAAAGTTTCAGAAACCATTAGGGCCACCCAACAGCCTCTTATACAGTTTCACATCTGGGAGCTGTCCACACCAACTAGGAATCTGTCGACTGATTGGGTGCCAATCTGTATCTACCAAAACTCATTAAAACTGACCTGATTGGTGGTCTTGAGACTATTTCTGTAAAGCCCCATGGGGTGATTGTGCTTGAGATGCTATCTGTATGTTTTGTGATTACATGCTGCAAACTAACAGTCTAACAGACACAAACAGGCAATTAGAGGATTATTTTGTGGATGTATCAGAGTTGTGAAAATGCACAGTCTAAGACAGCGTGTCATAATCTGATTTTAAAGAGTTGCACAGCTACTTCGCTGACAGCAACAAACACACAACACAGGGCTTGTAATTCAACAAGTGTATGGTTGTGTTCCCATGGCAAGGCCAGATGGTTAGTGACAACGGCAATTGCTATATTGTCTCCTGGTTGGCATTTTCACCAGGTGTGAGAGTCAGATGTGTTTTCTAATCTGATTGCTCAAGCTGCTCTATGATTACTCTACAAAACCATCCACGAGAAGAAGAAAAAGTATCTAGGATTTTAGGAGCACAATAAAGAGAATTTGTATGCAAGTTTTCTTGTGATGCTACTCAAACGTGTGATATAATCCAATGAAAGTATTAGTATCAGTCATAATAGGCCTGATAGGCAGGGGCAGATTTGGAAGGGTGGCATTCCTGGCCACCGTAGCTGCCACACTAGTTTGGTGTCAAATACTGTCAAATTTAACACATTAATTTAAAAAAATAAATGTGTTAAATGGATATTCATTTAATGATATGGCCACATTTTAGACTAAGTGATATGCTTAAGTTAAATGAAAAGAGACATGTATTTGGAAAATGTCCGAAGATGTGAAAATAAAACAATTTATTGATTTCTAATGCCACCTTTAGATATTTCTAATGCTTTGCCAATTCACTACAATACTGTAGTTAGATAGATATTTTCATTTTGGTGCTTTCCAAGCAAATATTGATATATGTGATCTTTCTGCCACCCTATAAAGTCTCCATAGCACCCTCTTACCACCCCTATGAATATTTCTTTATACCCGCTGCTGCATTTTGAAATGCAACACTGACCTGAACACTGAAGCACGATTGCAGAATCTTAGTGAACTGGATCCAGACAAAGAAACAACAATATAGTAAATACATCTGCATGAATGTAAACGCGTTAAAAATGCATTTAACAGCAATGAGCCAGGCAGACATAAATAAATACATATGCACACAGAAAACATTTTGAGCCCTTAAACACAAACCAACATTGTTCTAAATCGAATTCCTAACTGTAAACAATCTTGTCCTGCTCATGTCAGGAGACTAATCAAACATGTAGCAAGACAGATGTTTGCCGTTACACTTTACTGCACAAACATATATGGGATATGTGGTCGGACTGGAACCCGCAAAACTAGCTCAGTGGAGCCTCAGTTATTGGAACCACTCAGATGGAAGTTGTTTTGCAGAGAAAAACAAATAAAAAAATAACACTGAAAATTTTATTCCAGAGGGCTTTCAGAAACTGTGGATACAC